TATATATATATATATATATAAATTTGAAGAGAGATTTGTTTGCTCAAGGAGTAAGTCTAATTCAATAACTCATGTTCTACATCAAATTTCAATGATTAAACCGTTAAATCTAAAGTTCTTAATGCATAGGTCAAATCTGTAAATTTTTTAAATATTTGAAAACCATTTGATACTTCATTTCATTAATTCAAATTAATGTATAAAATAATTTTATGATTATCCGTCAATTTGAATTAATGAATAAAATATCAAATGATTTTCAAATATTTTAAAAATTTACAGATTTGATCTATGTATTAAGAACTTTAGATTTAAGGATCGTTAAAATTTGATGTAGAACATGAGTTATTGAAAAGAGTAATTATAGGTAGATTTACTCCTAGAATAAACGGATCCCTCCTCTATAAGTTTAATTATACTTTTGATCATTTTATTTTTGTCAATTCATAATTTTAGTCTCTCTATTTTAAAATAGAGTAGTTCATCTATTTTTAAAAATGCAAAATTTTAGTTCTACTATTAATTTGATATTCGTTGATTATCACCACTTAAATAACGTGATATTTCAAGAGTGTCATGTAAATATAAAAAATAAAATAAAAAACAACATAAAAAATCTTTGATTTTATAATTTTAATAAATAATTAATATTTATTTTATTAATAAATCTTATTTTATCTGTTTTTATTTTTATTTTTTTTATCTTTAATTCTCATATTACTAAACGTGACATAAATTAAAAATAAATAAACGTTGAAACTTAATAATTAATAAGTATTAATTTGATAGAAGATTAAAATTTTGTATTTTAAAAATTAAAAAGACTAAATATTTCTATTTTAGATAAAAAAGAAAAGTTATGTAAATTTATATTTTGATAATAATACTTATTTAAAATAAAAGCTAACGGAACTTTAAAAACAGAAAAAAAAAATGTAAATTAGAATTTAGTAAGAGTATTTGCATATATAAATTCTGTTGTGTAAGGGTTCAGGGTTATGATGAGGAAAGTGTATTTTTTTTTAACATAATAATAAATATAATACTTATATTTTTGAGAAGAAAATGTAATTTATTGGAAATTGAATAGTTATTGAATTTAAATTTGAGTGTATGAATTAGATTTAGAGTAGATCCATTTATGCATTTGAAATCCTTTAATCATTGAAGGACCCCTCCCACCTTCTGACGCCACCATGCTTCCCACGTGGCACAGACAGCTAGATCCCCCACACACATGCAAATAATGTTGCCAACAACAAAATCACAGCTCCAACATCAACGTTATCTAATTTTTAAAATTACAATGCTCCAAACAGTATAAATTAATCATAAATATTCGTATAAACTAATATATTTATTAAATTTTATAATAATACTTTTAAAAAATTGTGTTGAAAATATTAGCTAACTAATTTACAAATTAATTAAACTCCACGGTGTTAAGAATAAAAATCTCTAATATTATAGAAATTAATAATTAAATTTAAGAGAGATTATTGTAGTACTAATATTTTTGTATTATCAGTTAAAAAGAAATTTAATAGAGGTTATTGTAGTACAAACTAGAATTTATCCATTGAATTTGTCAGATCCACAGAGAAACACAAACTTTTTCTAAATATTGAATAGAAGGATGAGTACTTTAGCCATGGACATGATTTTTAAGGGAAAATTAACGATTCACTATAACTTTAAGAGAAATAATTTAATTATTCACGGATATTATAAAAGGGAAATCATTTACTAAATCACTAAAATGATTATTTTTTAAAATTAATGAATAATTTTAAATTTTATTATAATATTTTTTTTTTCGTCCCTAGAATATCTATTGCTAATAACGGTGACTAATCTCCTCGCTACGTTAAATGCACTTCAAAGGATGAGATAACTGACCTCAAAATTTAACACAGCTGCATGTACAAGACATGATAAATTAATTATCTACACCATTTTATATAAACGAGTACTTTATTTAATAGTCATTATGGTCTCCATTTTTTATAAAAAAATTTATCCTTTTTTATTTTACTTAAAATTCTGAATCACTCTTTCTTTTCTAAAGTGTTTTTGGCGTCAAATGTTTATTTATTTTATGTAACTATCCAATTGTTTTTAAATTTTTTTTATTGAAAATAAATAAAGGTTTGAAACATTTGGAAAACATAAAAAAGAATGATATTCTTATTTTTCAATATAAGATTACCTTAGATCATAATTATAAAGAATCAAATAAATTTTTTTAATATAATTACTTTTAATTAATTCAACATAAATTCAAATTTTATTTCAAATATATTATTTACTTTGAGTGATTAAAGTGAAAACATAGACATTAGAGTTAAAAAGTAAATGAAGAGTATAAAAATAATTTAATTTTAAATAACATTAAAAATTAAAAATTATTACTTATAATTAGATTCAAAGAAAAAAAACTAATTTACTACTTATAATTAAAACTTTAATTAAATTTTTCCTAACTTTCTCTCTCATAAATTATTCAGCCACCACTTAAAAACAATACATCTATTGTTAGAATAAATTATTTTAGTAAACTATTATAAAAAATGATAAATTTATTATACAAGTGTCATGAAGGAAGTTATTATTAATATTTTATTTTAGTAAAATTATTATAAAAATAATACACTTATTGTAATTCTATATCAATAAGTAAAAACCTTAAACTACAACTATTGTGGGTCAAAGGAAATAATTTAAAATTATTTTATTTTATTTTTTCATTTAATAAAATAATATACTTTTAATTTCCCACTAAAGATTAAAATCAGGCAATAATTTTTAAATACTCACGATGAAAAAATGTTGAAAAAAAAAAACAACAAAATCTTCCATGTTAATGACTTAATTTTGCAAAGAAAGAAAGAAAGAAAAATAATAAAAAAAATGAATACTTTGAAAAATAAAAAAAGAAAAATCAAATCTCATCTCTTATTCTTTCCACCTTTACGTGCTGTCGTCGACGTCGTCGTCGTCTTCTTCTTCTTCTTCTTCCTCTCTATTTCCCTCACAGCACCATCCAAACAAAGCTTCAAATCAAACCCATTATTCAACGCTCCAAAAGAGAAACCCTAATCCCACGTAGCTACAAGCATAACCCAATCAGATCCCAATCAAGCAATGAAATTATTACCGTAATCACCCAAAAATTTTAAAAGCTAGAGCGCGATGCCGAGCGTGGCCGTGAAACTCTACAGCGTCTTCTTCAAGTTTCTCCTAAAGCACCGTTTGCAGAACCGGATCCAGGCCCCGCCCGAAGAATCCGACCCGTTCGGAATCACGACCCGACCCGACGAATCCGTCGCCGCCGCGAACCCTTCCTTCTCCGACGGCGTCGCCACCAAAGACATCCACATCGACTCCTTAACCTCTCTCTCCGTCCGAATCTTCCTCCCCGATTCCGCGCTCGCCTCGCCCGAACCAAACTCCAAGCCTAACCCCAACCCTAACCGCCGGCCCGAGCCTGGATCCGCCACGCAGGCCGAAGCGGCGTCGTGGCGGCGCTACAGCTACGGGCCCTCGGCTTTGCAGCAGCGCGAGGAGGAGCCGCGGCGGAACAGCCTCAGCGGCGACTCGGAGGGCTCGAATTCGCCGGCGGGCGGGTACCGGGGGTACTCGCCGATGGCGGGGGACGGTCGCCGGAAAAAGTTGCCGGTGGTTTTGCAGTTCCACGGCGGGGGGTGGGTGAGCGGGGGGAACGATTCGGTGGCGAACGATTGCTTCTGCCGGCGGATCGCGAAGCTCTGCGACGCGGTGGTGGTGGCGGTCGGGTACCGGCTGGCGCCGGAGAATCGGTACCCGGCGGCGTTTGAGGATGGGATGAAGGTGCTGAATTGGCTGGCGAAGCAGGCGAATTTGGCGGAGTGTAGTAAGTCTTTGGGGGGGAAGAAGTTGGAGGGTCAGCACAAGCATATTGTTGATTCATTTGGGGCCTCGATGGTTGAGCCTTGGTTGGCTGCTCATGGGAATCCATCAAGGTTGAAACTTATACTTTTTTGTTATCACCTTTTTGTTTGATTTATATCCTTATACTAATGCTGTAGTAGATTGATCTGTTTGTACATTTTGTAATTTCAGATTGGGGGTGGTAGGAATATGATGATTCTAGTTGTGATTTAGATGAAATGTTGTAGTGTTTTTTTCTTCCCTAGAGCGTTGATAATGATTAGAGAGTGTAGAGTAATAATGTAGCAAATTGGTCGAGGGATCTGTGGGTTAGGGAGGGGGTGATAGGCTGTGTAGTGAGTGGGGTTTTTGAATTTGATGGCAGCAAGTTTGGGTTGGGCCTTGGGATAATAACCAATCTGATGTTGATTGCAAATGAACTAGTCTTTAATTTAGGTTCTCTTCGGATAAACCTCTTCATGAATATTATAAAGGAAAAAGAAAATAAGAAGATAAAATGAATTAAAGTTCATCTATAAGTTAAAAACAGCTTATGCCGTTCAACTTTCATAGAATCTCTTTCAACTAATTTCTCCAAAAAAGTTGAGGTACATAAGTTGAATTTAATTTATGATAGAAGATTAATTTATTATGCAAGATAAAAAATAGTACAAGACAAGAAGTATTCAAGTAACAGGACAATTTTTAATCTTTTAATTTATTTGATGTATAACATATAACACAATAAAATAATGTGAATTTTACTAGAATACCCTTTTCAATAGATTAAAGCATTGTAGAACCTAGAATACCTAAATCTGTGCTTCACCACTTTCATTGATATTGCTCTGTTATCCACCCAACTTCTACTTTGAGGTCAGTAGCAACAAGGGTGCCATGTCTTCTTTGTGGTGGAAAAAAGGACAAGTTCTAGTTCAGAAAAGAGGACAAGAGATGGACATTTATTCAAGATTGTATCTCCTTTCCCTTCCTCACCCATGGCCAACTACAAAATTGATATTTTCTCCTCTAAATTTTGTGCCCTCAATTTTAGGGAAAAGTACTGATTCCCCTCCCATGTCCTAGTGGCCAATCTCAACCAAACAATTCCACAAAAGCTTAAGATACTAGGCATAATCTAGTCCAGGTTCATAACATTTCACTCCAAAAAAGCTTAAGATACTAGGCATAGAAATGTGAGTGTGAGAAATGTTATGAACTTGGACTAGATTGTGCATTTCTGTATTGCCACTTTGATTGGTAAGGAAGAAAAAATTGCCCCAAAACATCATGTGGGAGATTTTCGAAAAGACTAAGATCCAATGACTTCCTTCTGGTTCCCTTGGATCATGGAACTTTTTGGACGAGGTTGGCCACTAGGAAATGGGAGGGAATTAATACTCTTAAGAAAGTGAGTTTGGATCTAACTCAACCTTACAAACTAACTTGTAAGGTGAGAGTTGCCTCTACTTATATATATACTATTATGACTTTATTCTTAGACGATATGGGATCTCCAACACCTCCCTCCCCTCACGTTGAGGACTGAACATCTCAAGCATGAAGTTTGTAGGATTGGACATTTACGGGTGGTCTAATAATGGCTTGATAGCGGGTGGTTGATAAGTCCACTAACAATAATCGCTAGAATATAGGCTTTGATACCATCTTAAGAAAGTGAGATCGGACCTAATTCAACCCTACAAACTGGCTTGTAAAGTGAGAATTGCTTTCACTTATATACACTATTATGGTCTTAGACGACATGAGATCTCCAACAAATACTTTTTCCTAAATTTGAGGGCACAAAATTTGGAGGTGGTATTGATTTTGTAGTTGGCTTTGGGTGAGGAAGGGAAATAAGATACAGTCTTGAAGAAAGGTTAAATCTTGTCTTCCTCTTTTTCAAACTTGAACTTGGACACCACAAAGAAGAAATGCCACCCTTGTTGTAGACTTGGAAGTAAAAGTTTGGTGGATAACAAAATGTGATCAATGAAAGGGGTGAAACACGAATAAAGGTATTCCAGGTTTTATGATGCTTTAATCTATTGAAAAGGGTATTCCAGTAAAATTCACATTATTGGGTTTGTTTGTTAAAATTAGAAAGAAGTGTTTCCAAACAAGTGCTATTAAAAATATAATTTTTTAAGAAGCAAATAGGAGTTGCTTCTTAAATAAGGTAGAAAACTGCTTATTTTAAAAAAAGAAGTTTAATCATACACATCAAAAAGTAAAATAAGTGCTTATTTTATTTAAGAAAAAGCGCTTTTAAAAGATTTTTTTGTAAACAAACAGACCCATTCTCTGTTTTACATCAAATATTTGCAAGATAAAAAATTGTCCAGTCACTTGAATAGTTGTCTTGTACTATTCTTTGTATTTTGTACTTCAGCATCTAACACATCCTTAGTGTCATGCAGGAAGAAGCCTTTTGAGTTATTCTTGCACTTTGTTTCTCTTGTTTGATTTACTTGCATTTTAGGGAAGTTTCAGATTTGAAGCAACTAGTTACCGGCCCAAGTGTTCTTTAATAAAATGGCCTTTGGAGGAATCTTTGTGTGCCATTATATAGATCTGATCATTGGATTAATGGATTCATATATACGGTTTGGGATTCAGTTATTGCAGAGACTAGAGAGAGAATTCTGTTACGTGTTTTTAGGGGGTGTAACAGTCATGGTATGTTCATCCTATGTTGTCAATTGTGGCTGCTATTGTGGTGGAGCTGAGCGGAGCAGCTCCTTGCTGCTACAGTAACCCCGTAGCAGGGTGTTTCACTGGAGCGGAGTAGTTGAGGTGGAGCCGTTTACAAAAAATAAAAAATACTTCACTTAATGAGAGTGTTAATTTTTTTTTCCTGTTCTCTTCTTATCTTATTTTTTTTTTCTCTCTTCTATTACCCTTTGTTGTTTTTCTTTCTTTTCCATCCTTTCCTTTTTCTCTTCCTTTTTTTTTTATTTATTGTTGGCAGCAGCAATTTTTGTTATTCTGTTCAGTTTCTTCACTTGAATGGTTTTGTTCTTTGGTGGTCAGCAAAATCATGGCCCAACCAAATGCTGTTCAACAAAAAATTCAGAGCTCTGGTGATGCTGGTACTGATACACCGTCAGTGGTCAACAGGATGGGGATTGAATTTTAATGTTTACTTTTTAGTTACTTAGTACTCCCTCCGTTTTTTTTTTCATTATCTTTAAGATTATGCACAAGAATTAAGACAATGATTGATATTTTAGTTTTTCAAAGTATTCATTACATATTTTCCTGTTATACCCTTTAGGTGGTTAGAGAAGAAATAGGTACATTAGAAAATGAATAGACACATTGTTTAGTAAACATGCATTAATTATCAAGAGTAAAAATGAAAAAAAAAATTAATAAGTCATTAGTTTTAGAAAAGTGACAATGAAAAAAAAAAGTAACAAAATCTGACAAAATGACTATGAAAAAAAAATGGATGGAGTACTTTAAATACTTTAGGGTTTAGCTATAGATGATTTAAAGCATTAAGCACCTTGTCTCCTTTACTTTTTTTATTTATTTTTGTTTAAGTACTATCAACTTTTATTATTGAAAATGATTAATGCATGAATTTTGAGTTATTTTTTTTAATTTTTTTTTAACTTATATATATATATATATATATTATTGGTGAAACGAAATTTCTTACTTGTCTATAGTTGTTTTGCAACTCTTCACTGGTATAATAACACATTTTCTCATCTCACCTAAAATGGAATTGATTAGTGTCTATAGGAATAGGCTGCATTTTCATCTAATCTAAAGAGATTATGTTCGACTTGAGTAATTTCACTTTTAGATTGTGTCTGTACTGTAGCTAATGTAACGTTCTAGAGATGCTGAAAAACACATAGGCATCGAGAGAGAGCAGGTAAAGCGATGATGCTGTGAAGAATATTCTTCAGGTGGATGCCACTTGATAGTAGCACAGGTCATCCTGCACTATAGGATGGGAAAATTAGAGGATTTTTGATGATAAAAGAATTAAGGCTGGTGGATCTACGATGCTTAAACAGTTGTTTATCTGAACCTTTTTCTCCTTGGACTTGACCTTTTCTCGGTTTAGTCTGATGCTTTATTTGCTATATTTATTGTCCGTGTCAAGTTTTTTTTTCCCCTTTTAATTTCCAAATTTTCATTACGTTTTATTTACTAGATTTTTTGTATTTGTTTCCTGTGCTTTCCTTTATGTACATTAATTAATAGCATCCCAGCCATTCCTTTGGAACTGAGTTTTGAATTTTTTTGTTAAAAAACATTTTAAAGGTACAGGATTTTGTCTCAATCCTAGGTGATGCTAGTTTATTCCAATTTTTGTATGCAGGTCTAAAACTAACAATCAAAAACTACTATATTGGTAGGGTACACGGGCTTATAATGGAGCCTAATATAATGCTTCTCATGAAGCTTCATCCATTGTCTCATTTGGAGGGGTTCTTACTTCTTACATGGGCTTCCAATATGTCTTTCTGGGTTACTTTTACATGCTGTTTTATAGCTCAGTTTCAACCAAGAATCTCGTCTTCTTTAATCTTTTCTACCTGTATGTCTGCTAGCCTACCTTAACTTTCTATTCCTTAACAGATTTGGGTATCTTCCTTTAACGACCCCAATATATAAACCATGAAATTTGTTTTGGGAATCAGTCTTATTCTGCTTAATTTACCCATTCTTAATATTCTTTATATTTTAAATTTTCTTAAAAATAGAAATTTTCAAATAGTAAATTTATTTACAGCATATATTAGGTAATCTTCATCTAAGTGATCGGGGTTTATTAAGAGGATGCTTGTTTTGCTTGACTATTGCTCAAGATTTTATATGACCTTCTTTGGACATGGACAAATATATTTTAGAATGCTAGGCCTCTTCAGAAATGGTCTTGTTTGAAGGCCAGAAAAAAAAGGAAGTTGAAGGGTAACATTTTTGTAGATAAGCTGTTGTGTTGCCTGTTTCCTAATTTTTTTTTCTGGTCAGGAGTTGTGTGCTACACTACTTCAGTGCTTAACCTTTTCTTTTTCCTGTTATCAGATGTGTTCTTCTTGGTGTGAGTTGTGGTGCAAATATTGCAAACTACGTGGCTCGGAAAGCTGTAGAAGCAGGTAATCTTCTGGACCCTGTCAAGGTGGTGGCACAGGTCCTGATGTATCCATTTTTTATTGGAAGTGTACCCACTCGATCCGAAATAAAGTTGGCAAACTCTTACTTTTATGACAAGGCAATGTGTTTGCTAGCATGGAAACTATTCCTACCAGAGGAAGAGTTTAGCCTAGACCATCCAGCCGCCAATCCCCTAGTCCCAGGCCATGGTCCTCCTTTAAAGCAGATGCCTCCAACATTGACAGTGGTGGCAGAACATGACTGGATGAGGGACCGTGCCATTGCTTATTCGGAGGAGCTTAGGAAGGTGAATGTTGATGCACCTGTTTATGAGTATAAAGATGCAGTCCATGAATTTGCCACACTTGACATACTTCTCAAAAGCCCTCAGGCCCAGGTTTGTGCTGAGGACATCGCCATCTGGGTCAAGAAATACATTTCGCTTCGAGGTCATGAATTCTCATATTGAGGTAGGATATACCACGGGTTAAGACGATAGTCAGTGAGAAAATCTTTTCCCCATCTTTGAAATAATCTTAAGGTCGATCTTCTGCTACCAGTATATATGCCTGGGGAATATGTGATTATAGTACATGATTTGTATTGATGGTTGACAAGGTTCTGCTGTCCTCTATGTTGACCGGTTCCATGTTCCCTCCACCTGTCAGTTTTTGTTGTAAGATAGAGTTGTTCGAGAGCGGATTAGTTGAGCCAGTGAGAGATGCATTCATCTCTTGCACACCCTTGTTCCATTTTTTTTTGTTGTATTATGATGTACTATTTCTCACGATATAAATTTTAGTGCTCTATTCTTTGAGCATTAGGTTAATCATGCAGTCTCCGGTCTATTCTCCCATATACACGGCCCTTGGAGTAGTGGGAATTCATAGTAAATTAATCTTTGTACAAGAGACCAGTTCTTAGTTCTTCGATATAATTGAGACTTAAGGCTAAAAAAGCAATTTCCAAGAAGATACCTTCTATTGATGGTCTCTAGGACGAAGATATGGTCTTTCTTTAATAATAATATTAGCCAAAAGCTAGAACCGATTTTGCTTAGTTTACTTTGTTGTTCACAATGCTGGTGTCCAATGAAGGACAATTTTTTCATCGTTATCTTCTTGTTGATTGTTAAGTTTTAGTCGTACAGCCACTATAAATATGCTATGATCTTCACCTGATTGCCTCGGCTATTATCACAAATCTTGAGATAATTGCCCACACTTTCCTCCCCTAGAATTTTTCTAGGGTGAGGAACCATGTGGAGGTTGAATCCAGACATTGAACCTCCAATGAAGTGAAGAGATGGATCATCCGTTTATCATGATTAAAACATGAAAAAACCATCTTCATAGTTCATACCCAAGCCAAACCAGTTTGGCTTGATGGTCTCAATATTGGAAGCACTTTGAGGGAATGGGAGCCACTGGCCCAGTGGGGTATGAACAGGTTGATCAATCTGTCAGATCTTCTGGGCTTATTTGCAAAGGTGGCATCTCTGCTGTGTGTCCTGTAACCATGAGTTCACTACAACGTTACTATGGTTGTGGGAAGTCTCAAGACGAAACAGTGGAAGAAGAAAAATGGTTGTACATTATTATGTATCATATAACCATATTTACGCTTGTTTGAGGAAGTGGAAAAATAGTGTGCTGAACTACGTGTGTGTTGTTTTATCCAAAAAATTATCTAAAAAGTTGTGGTAAAAAAGTTCCTGTGTCATGATATTATCACTAAATTAAGTGTACTATGTTTTACTTGACTTTAAGTAAATTAAGATGTTCTTTAAATAAAGGAAAATAACAACTAATATACTGGGGTCATACTCTGCTATTATTGATTTAAGATTTATCGAGAATTATAAAATCATGAATGAAACATATTTAATATGATGGGACTTACAAAGTTTTGTAAATTTAATTTTTAATAAATTTTAATTAATAATATTTTTAGGATGAATGTATTGCTAGCATATTTTTAAAAAAATATCTTATTCAATTTAAAGAAATTCTAAACACATTATCATCACTATCACTGGTATTATCATTATTATTATTTTTGTTATTATTATTGTTCTCATAACTCTTTATTATCATCTTGTCATCGTGTGTCAATTGCAGGAACAATGATAAATATTAATGACTTTGACAAGTTATTTTTAATTTTAGTTGCATTATTTTGTTATTTGTGATATAAAAGTTATTATTGAAAATTCTTATTTTTCTCATCTTAATAATTTCTTATTTAAAGTAAGTGAAGTAAAGTAAGTGAAGTCAAAATCATGGAAACAAAGAAAGAGATATTAAACGTATTTATTTATTTATTTATTTTTTTGTCAATTCCGTATTTCAGACCTTATAATCATTAAACAATAGGCTCGATTAATTATATTAAACTTTGGGAAGTGAAATTAATTTATCCTTTTTTAATGTGTTTGCATAGTAAGCGTATGATTTAACAAAATGAAATATTATACGAGTCTAACCAAACTAAAGAGATTTAACAATTCCTAAAAGAAGTCTCCACATCCTAACCTAATCATTACAACTAACAAACTAATAATTATTTTTATTAAGTTTGTTGAGATGTCACTATCAAAGCCATACGACTTATATTTAACAACTTGGATGGCTAACTTTGGTTAGGTTTGTACATCTAAACCACTTGCATGAGCAAGTGGACGTCCAAACCTATGGACAATGAAAAAATTTGGGCCATTCAAACCTAAATAAGTCTATGACTTTAACTAGTTACACCTCCTCTAAACTATTAATTACACTATTAAAGAAAAAATATACAAGGACAACATTCCTATATTACTTGACCTAAAATACAAGGTCAAAAATAACCTATATAATATATACAATAGAAGGCTAAACAACTAGGAGAACACATAATTTATGCTCATGAAGTACATCCTCTTTAGTAACTTCCTCTAACCTTCTAACCATAAACCTTGTCAAAGGTCATATGGCCTTTAAGGATGGTCTTCCATCAGAGAGAGAAAATAAAGTATGAGATATAAAAGAGAAGCAAAGTTAAACGAAAGAGATAAAAGAAAGAGAGAAATAAAAGATATATAGGTAAGATAAAAAAGAAAAAAAAATATGAAGAATTTAAATTTCTTACAACATATTAGGTTGTTTGTATTTCATTTAGAACAAGATAAGACGAATCTATCAGCTGGAGCCTGAGGAATCAGATGCAAGACTAAAACAGGCATCATATGAGACGGAAGTCAGCTAAACATCAACATGATTTTGCAAAATCATCAGATAGAGCCAAACGAACAAGCAGACGAAGTCATCACTAGCAGACAAAGAAATCAAAACTAAAATGTGTATCCAAACGTAGTCAGAAAATAATGAAGCGTGTCTGAAGTCCACTAATCACATCGAGTGAAATCATACAAGAAACACAAAAGGACATCAAACGTGAATACAGAAAGAAGAAAAATAGGCAAGCGTGGATTCACAAGTCAAAGTTGCGTGCGTCAGAGAAATGACACCTACTTTTCAGAAAAAGACAGCACCTCGACAGCTAAACTGATGAGAAAAATAGAAATATGCCTAGATCATGATTGAAGTCAGACATTGAAATAATCAACTACCAAAAAGGACTTCATGTCTACAAGCAAACATTTAATGCAAGATCAAATGCATTAAATGAGAAGATTTACATAGCCATGAACAAGCCTCCATATGCAACGACATGAAGCCCCGCTCCAACGGGAAAATTTTAGTTCAATCAACGGGCAGATTTATTAACAGGTTATAAGTATCAAGGCATAGAAGAAGAAGAAGCAGAGAATAGAAAAGAGAAAATGTGCAATAAGAAAAAGAAAGCGAAAGAGTATAAGCTGCATTTCTTCTCAAAGCATTTCCTGTATATCTGTGTAAAAACTAAGATAGCCAATCTTAGTGAGTGTTGTTAATATCCTATCCTCTTTACGAGAGTAAACACAACACTTATACACTTATTCCTGTAAAACAAAGGTTACGCACCTTAGTGAGTGTAAAAACTATTTTATCCTCTCTGTGAGAGTTGCAAACACACTCAACACCCTCATTTGTTGTAAAGCCTGAAGAGGCTGATAGAAAGAATACTTGTGAACCAGAAGTGGTTAAGAATACTAGCCTCGACAATTTGACGAGCCAGAAGTGGTTGAGAATACTTGTAATCCTTTGTGATTAGTGGAAACTGGACATAGCTCAGATTGAGTGAACTAGTATAAATGTCTGTGCATACCTTTTTCTATACTCACTTCGTTTTCATCCATATTCTTTTCAACAAACTGTTAGACAAAAACACAACTGCTTATCTTGATTAAGAAACAATTGTTTTTATTAGACGATAAAACCTTTTAGATGAAAAAAAAACTCACACAACTTGTTTCTTAAAGTAGACGATCAGTTTTGTTAGACAAAATTTTTAGTCAGACAAGCCTACACAAGTTTTCAACCGTGATTGAATACTCTATTCATTAAAAAAAATATCGTTGCAAGAAGATGAGTGTTGAAGAGTATAGACAAGATTTTTCAGCATGTTTTATCCTCACACGCACACTTTCTAGGAAACTTCCTAGAAGGTCACCCATCCTTAAATAACTCCAAGTCAAGCACACTTAACTATGGAGTTCTTATGGGACAAGCTGCCAAAAAATAGATGCATCTTGTTGGTATAGGTAGTACAAATTAATTCCTTTAAGCCATTCTCAACTATACAATTTCATACTTGTACAATCTCTGGATCCCTCTCATTTTGGTGTGTCTGGGTTGTTACAAGCCCACCAGCTTTCGCTTGGTTTGTCCTCGAATCACACCGTATTGGGAGAGAGGACCTACTCTGATACCATTTGTAAAACCACTCAGATTTGACCTCTTAACGGCTCCACTCCACGATATTTTACATGATGACACTTCATGTAACTTCTCGTTAGTTAGAACCCTTCACCGATTAGAATCCTCAATGGGTAGCCTTTTCTAAGATGTTTGTCCACTTTTAGGATCAAGGATTGACCCATAAACCAACATAAGACTTTTCAACATGCTTTATCCTTACTCACGTTTTTTGGGAAACTTCCCAAAAAGGTCACCCATCCCTAAATTACTCAAAGTTAAGCACATTTAACTATGGAATTCTTATGGGATAAGCTACCAAAAAGTAGATGCATCTTGTTGGTATAGGTAGTACAAATTAATTCCTTTAAGTCATTCTCAACTATACAATCTTATACTTGTACAACCTCTAGATCCCTCTTATTCCGGTGTGTCCAGGTTGTTATAATTATCTTCATACCATAGATAGGAGCATGGAGAGGAGGAGTACACTTCTAAGAGTCACTCCAAGAGTGAACCATCAAAAGAAAAGAGTGAGAAAAATAAACTCTCTAATAAGAAGGAAACTCCTAACACTAATTCTAAGACTAGTAAAATTAGATGTTTTAAGTGTGTAAGAAGAAGTCACATTATCTCTCAATGCCTCACTAAAAGGACCATAATCTTAAGGAGAAAATACCACTATAGTAGTCGAGAGGAGAATACACCTTCTTCCTCCACCTCTACTGGTAGTGAAAAAAAAGGGGTAAAAAACTCTAATGAAGAGGAAGCCTATCCTTGTGATGGTGAGCTCTCATTGATTTAAAGGCTTCTTGGAAGTCAACCTCATGAAATTAACACTCCACAAAGAGAGTATATCTTTCACACAAGATGTAAAATTTTAGATCAAACTTGTTCTTTCATTGTTGATAGTGGCTCATGTTCCAATTGTTGTAGCGCAAGGTTGATTGCTAAGTTAGCCATCACTACCATTCCTCATCCAAAACCTTATAAGCTTC